TGCCTAAGAAATAACTACTATCTAGTTGGTGTTTGTGCTATAAAATGTGGTATGTTCTTCAACATACCATCTCCCATATTGTTGATTTATTATTTTAATGCATATATCATACATAGTTTTAATTTTTAGGTACTATAAAATATGTTGATATAGTTATAGTAACATGTATATTTAAAATCTTATAAATAATTTAAAAAAAAAAACAGGTATGAACGTAGTTTAACGCAATCTCTGAGAGCTCAACAAGATGAGGCATATGAGCAATCACTACGAGCTGATCAAGAGAAGGAACGACTTAAGGAACAAGAAAGATTGAAACAAAAGTCAAAAGAAAATGAAGAGAAGCAACGGCAGCAAGAAGAAGAACAACGGAAACAAGTATGTTATGTTTTTGAATCAACATAATGTTTAAATACTATCCACAAGAGACCTTTGGTGTAATTTACATCACAAATTCTTTGCGCCAATACCAGTAGTCGATTGTTATCAATTTACTTATTCTATTCCTATCTGAAATATATTTTTTAAATATATACTAATCCTCAATCATCTTTGTTCATACAGAAAATAGCTGAAGAAAAATTGAATGTATGGCAAAAATACCAGAAGAACCACCGATTGATGCACCAGAAGTCCTATTTATTGTTATAAAGCTACCTTGTGGTAAACGTCTTGAACGTAGATTCCTGTCTAGTCATTCCATTGAAGTATGTTTGTAATAGTATAGTTGCTGGTAACATTCCTAAAAATATCATATACAGGTAACCCCAGACAACATAGTAGATACATTTCAAAAAGTACTGTGTTATGTAAATCCGAGTTATACAAAACAAGGGCCTTGTACAAAAAAAGTGGTTACATTCCAAAACTTCAAGGAAACATGCTACATATAATTATTTCATAATAAAGTATATTGGATTTTTTTTTAAAGAAGAAATACATATTAGTTGACTTAAATATTTTTTAAGTAATAGTTTTTTTTTTGGCAAGATATTCTTGTCTTTTGAGTAATTTCTGTATTATCTCTAGATCTTTACTTGCTACTTTGTTATTTTCTTTTGCTTGATTTTAATGAAAAAATCTTTCTATGAAGTTAAGAACATGCAAAGTTCACTTTATTAAAACGTTGTGCTTATTTTATTTCAAATATATGACTTAGTTGCTCAATAGGCCTAGTCATTTCCTCCAATAGAACTTACACGCTCGAATAATAAAATTAGGTATCATTTGCACTAGTTTCACTATGTTTATTGGACTGTAATTTCACTAATTTTAAATTGATGATGAAGTTTGCTTTTAATCTTTTATTACATTTTATTAGGGTTTTGCTCAATTATCAAGTCAGAGTGAAAATCTTATCCAGAGTTTAATTTCCCTGTCAGATTGAATCTGTGCTATAAAATCATCATGTTATAAAGGAGATTATCTCTATTCTTAATACATGTTATAGCTGATGTGTTATAGAAGTACCTTGTTGCACAGCGGTTACCTGTATATTAATTTTCTGTCACAATATGGAGCTTATTTTGATAATGTTGCCAGCTTTTCTTGTCCTACTTATTGATATAAATTTGTTTTTAATTTTTAGGATATATTCTATTATGTCTTTTGTCATCCGGATGCTCCAGATGAGTTTGAGATTATAACAAACTTTCCAAAGCGAGTTTTGCAGGTGAACCGTGGTGGTGTATCAATGACTCTTGCGCAAGCTGGACTTAAAACAAGAGAAGTTCTTTTTATAAATGATTTGGATGCATAGGTTGAATATTTGTATTTAATATAGAATATGAAATTTTTAATTTATTTGTTTGAGCAATAATCAGTTTGCTGATGAGTGTTGCTTTTGGACAGTTTTATGTATATCAGTATCTTATTTACAAAATATATTAAAGTATATTAACACAGTATGCAGATTATTTTCTGGCAGATACAAAATTTGTACATAATTTTGTACCAATGTTTTATACTTGTTTTAAAACAGAAATCCGATGAATAGATTTCAAATTATTTGATAATACATATATAAATCAGTTCACTATGACCAATATTGTGAATTGTTGAATGTAATGTTCATATTGTTAAAAAAACATGATCAGATGAATATATATATATTCCATTTTATTTAAATCCTGTGTTTTCTTTCATATTTTTTTGAATAAAATTGAGTCACTATGCTCAAAGTGTATAGTATGCTTATATTATATATACATTGAGATTATATACCCATATAATTATAATTAGAAGGTAAAGAAAAAAATGAACTTAAATGACAAGAAATTGAAAGTCGCGCTCGAAAGCTTTTGCCTCCTTTTCTATTTTGAAGTGCCATACTCTTCTTTTATCTATGCATAGCGCCATATGTATAGATATTGCCAATCTAGGGAAATGTCAAATTTAGGCCTAGACGTTGCGTCCACTGCGTGTTTTACGAGTTCGTGCTTGACGTCTTGTTCACCCCTAGACAAGAACTTGACAAGTTTGAATGTTGAGTGTTGAAATA